ACTGTGAAACAGAAGGTTCAGCGTGACCATGAGGAAACCCTTCTTCCCTGTGAGGGTGACAGAGCCCTGAACAGGCTGCCCAGAGAGAGGGGTGGGAGTCTCCTTCCCTGGAGACTTTCCAAAGCCCCTGGACTGATTCCTGTGTGATCTACTCTAGGGGATCCTGCTCTGGCAGGGGGTTGGACTAGATGGTCTCTAGAGGTCCCTTCCAACTCCAGCTGCTCTGTGAGTCTGAGTTATGGATGCAGGGGGTGGGAAGTACCTGCCTTGTGACTACAGATGAGGGTTTTCTTCTTCCAGAGCACCAGCAGCTGCCACGTCAAGAGAAAGAACTACTCCAGAGGGAACTGAAAGAATTGCTGCAGAGGAGGCAGGAAGAAGTAACGTTCCTCAGAAAAGAGGAAAAAGCAATAGGCACCTTTCTGAGCATGTGTAGGAAGGTGCAGGCCTTTGTGAAAGGTAATGTTTTGGGGGAGCGGTTTCAAAGGGGCAGCTCCAGCAAATGCAATGTTTCCTCTGAAAACCACGAGGCTGTGTAAACAGGTGTTGTTCTTAAACCACAGCAAGGACGAGGAGGGGTGGGGGAAGTAAACCTAGAGCGTTTGAGGGATCAAATGAGTGTGCTTGTGCATCGCATGGTACTTGTAGGGCTCCACATGCCCTTGTAGCACTTTGCGACTTGGCGGTTCAGGGGAAGGAAGCTGGACACAGGCTGGACGTCTGATCTCTCTGACCTGTCTCTGTTTTAAAGTGGACGTAGGTGACGTGGAATTTCAACACATGGAAGATCTTCGCTCAAAAGGACTAAATACAGTTGTGACTGTGGGAAAGAGACCCATACGGACCTTCTACAGCTTGAGCCCAGAGCTGAAGAAGTTTGCCCAGAAAATGCACTCTTTTAAGGACAGCCTGATCTTCCAGCAGTTCTGGGAGGAAGCGGCGCAGAAGGCGGTAGACGAGTACGAAAGTTTGGAGGAGGAGGAAGAGGAGGATGATGACACTGTTCCTGTGTTGGACCTGGATGATGTTTTCAGCATACTAATCTTCCCGTGTTTCGAGAGCTACGAAGTATTGTACGATGATCTCAGATCTGGAAGTCTCACACTTTCTGCGGTTGATACAATTTTTCAGGAATTCGCAAACCACCCTGAAGATATCAAAACTGAACTGAACGCCCTGTGTAAGGTTAGACCTGGAGAGTGCAGAGATTGGGTTGATCTCCGAGTTCAGCAGATCCAGCAATACCATGAAATGCATTTAACTTTTGATGCTGTGAAGATCATTGCCAGTGTCAGAGAGAGTTTAAACCTCTCCGGTGACTTCAGTGTCCTGGAAAACCTGTTGAGCATAGTAAGTATCCACTTCTTCAGCACTACTGTCAAGGTGTTGGCTAGCAAGCTTGGGGAAATCTGAACCTTCCTGCAAGTCTACCCAGTCTGTCAAGAGCCATTCCTTGTCCCAGAATGCTTATTTGAGATAAAAATTCAGCATTCAAAGTTCTTTTGTGTAATATTAGAAGAGGGAAGATGGTATTCCTCTGTTTGGGGTGTGGCTTTGCAGCAGGCCTTTGCAGCAGGCTGGAGAATGGGTTGTATTCCCCATTTCCGGGCTGAGTGTTTGCACCGCTTGCTTTGCAGACAGAAAAGCTCGACTCGTACAAGACACAGAAGCTGGACTCCATCAGCCCTGAGCTTATGCGTGCCAAGACACTGCTGCAGGGGATCACTGTGAAGCGTCGCGGCTGTCTGGGGGAGCTGGCTCACCAGAAGGAGTTTGTCTGCTGGGTCAGAGAAGCCCTGAAAGGTGTGTGCTGCTCACCCCGGAATTGGGCGGATAGGACTGAAAGGGATGTTTGGAATGCCACATCCCTGACCCATCTGCTTGATGCCTTCACAGCTTCTGGTGCTGATGGTGTTACAAGAGTCTTAGAATGTGCTGTGACGTAGTAACCTTAAACATGCCCGTGCCCTGGAGTCTCCTGCGGCACGCGGGAGCTACCCTGCCCTGAAGCTGGGCCGCCTGAAGGCTTGCAGGAGCTGCCACTGCCCAGTTCAGACCAGTTGCTTACGAGAAGAGAGACCACGCGTTTAACCCGGGTGGCAGCGGGCTGGTGGGTTGTGTGACTGCCAGCTCCGTTGTCCAACATGCAGAGACACATACCCCTTGCACCGCTTCCATCCTGCACGTGGATTTGCTGGTCGTGGCAATGCAGAGAAAAGCCAGGGCCGAGGATGCCACGGACGTGGACGAAGCGCCTCGTAAAGCTGCTGGCAGGGTGGGCGGGGGGAAGCTGCACAGGAGGTGCTGTTCAAAGGCATCCTTTCTGCATTTGCTGTTAAAGGTGGTGATGTGGAATTGCATTAAAAGTCCCTTATTTGTTGTTCATTCGTGTGTTTATCCCATTTCAGATATAAATGAGCTGAAGGTATTTGTAGACTTGGCCTCCATCTCTGCTGGGGAGAATGACATGGATGTGGACCGTGTGGCATGTTTCCATGACACTGTGCATGGCTACTCTTCCTTGCTCTACGAGCTCCAGCAAGAGTCAGGGTTTGAGGACTTCATGCTCTGCTTGAAGAAGCTGTGGCGAGCCTTGGACAGTGATGAAAATCTTCCCAAGAAACTGGTGAGTTCTGCCAGAGCAGGTCCTCTCGCGGTTCTGCCTTCCAAGAGTGGCTGGCAGATGGCCTGCACAGGGCAAATTGCACTCGTGGGGGCATCACAGCGGCTCTTGTTACTGGAAGAAAAATGTCTAATGTTCCCGTGGCACAAAAATTCACTGGTGTATCACGGATTTCTTCCAGCTGCTGAGGCTTTCAGATGTGATGTGGTGTAGCTTCGCTCTTGCAAGAGTCTGAGTGGCGATGCAGGAGAGGGAAGGCGGATGGCTGGGAAGTCTGTCTTACTCTTTGCAGCAGGGTGTGTTTCTACAGCAAGAGGCATTGAAGCACTGTAGGCTCTGCTTGTTCACTTCCCGTGGTGTTGGTAAAGAACAGCTGCGCAGAAGGAGCAGGCGGTGGCCAGCAGGCATTCCTCTCTTCCTTCCCCATCTTATGCCAGCCCAAGCTGTTTGTCTTGGACACAGATGTAATCCTGGAAAGAACCGCCAAGTCAGAGCGTTGAGGGCAGTGCCGTGTCTTCTCTTCCCACAGCATGCTTCAGCTCAGCACTTGGAGTGGCTGAAAACCGTGAAGGAGAGCCACGGGTCTGTGGAGCTGTCATCGCTGTCGCTGGCAGCTGCCATCAACAGCAGAGGAATATATGTTCTCAGAGCACCAGCTGATGGCCAAAAGGTGAGGCTGCTTGGCTTTTCATCCCCTGCATATAGCACTGCTGTCATGTTGGTGACTTAGGTGCTGTAGCTTTTCTCCCACCCTGCAGGTCCTTTCTGGGGGCTTCTGCAGTCCAAGCGCTCCCTTGCTGCGCGTAGCTCTGACTTGGGAGTGGAACCTCGGTGCGCGTCGGCGCTAATGACTTGTTCTCTGGCAGGTTTCTTTGGACAACGTCCTGCACTTCACCCTCCCAGGGAACTCTGGGGATAATGAGGCATCGTGGAAATACTCTCTGGCAGGGCTCCGTGAGCTGCAGAACAAACTGATGCTCATGTCAGCAAAGGGGGAGCAAGGCTTGGAGGTGGAGAAGTTCTCTGAGGTCAGATTTCACACCCAGTGGGTTCCTGATGTTGGGTCTGGGGTTGGATTTTGCCTTGAATATCATCTTGTAAGACTCTGGTTTACAACTCAGTTGCTGGGGATGAATAGTGGCAAGAGATTGATGTTTCTACCTCTCTGGTTCCCTGTTAAGGAAGAACTAAGCTGGAGATTAGACAGGGGACTGGCACCCTCATCCTCTGTCTGTGCTGGGGCTGTGTCTGGGAAGGTTGCTGTGCTTCTGTAGCAAGCTGGGGATTCCTTACTGGCTTCCTGGGGATACTGCTGTTTAAAAAGCGACAGAGTCTTTTTTTACTGTACAAAAAGGCTGGGACCAAAGCCTTTATCTTGACTGAAAGTCCTTCCTGTTGTTTCATGACTGGGAATTGTCTTGGTAAATCAGCTTAGTTTTTCTCTCCTCTACCCTCACACAGATCTTTTCCAACGTCCAAAGACTTGCACAGGCCTTCATAGACCTTTATTCAGCTGGGAACATGCTCTTCCGCTCCTGGGTTGCTCATGTGTATTGTTCACCCAAAAGAGAATGTGTTGTTATAGACTTCTCTTTGGGACTGATCCCCGTGCTAGAAGGGCGAGGGGACATGGCAGTTCTGCTCCCAGGCCTCTGCAAGATGATGGAGCATTTCCTGGAGAGTTGGAATAGCTTCATGTATGAAAAACGATTCCAGCACTTCTACCTGAACTACTACACTGCCGAGCAGCTGGTCTATCTGTGCACGGAACTGGGGCGGGGGACGCCCAGCCAGGGTGCCCTGATGATGCTTTCCTTCCTCAAACACGACTGCACCAAGCAGGACGTCCTTAGAGCCTCCAGGAGCGAGGAGCCTCCCAGCTCAAGGAAGGCTATTTCTGACTTCCAAGTGGTGCTGGATGGGGAGAAGGACCTGCCTGCACGGCTGGAGTACATCTGGGAGTGCTACATGGGCGACATGGGCTCCTTCCTTCCAAACTGCCTGGATATTGATCGGCTGGGTGAGTGTCTGAAGAACCTGGCCAGCTGGGAGACGGCACGCGTCACACGAGACTTCCCACAGGATCTTCTGTGTGTTGGGCAGCCCAACCTCATCACGTGCCCTCGCTCCGAGGTGCTCACGTCCGCTCTGGCTATCTACATGAACAGCCTTGACCAGCCCCTTCCCACCTTCGATGAAGTTCTCCTGTGCACTCCTCACACCACTGTGGAGCAAGTGGGGCTTTTCCTCAGGAGGTGCCTCATTCCTTCCAGTGGAGGAGAGAAAATTTACACCATGCTGTACGCGGAGGAGCTGAGTTACGATGTCAGCTGCAGGGCAGAGGAGCTTTTCCAGCACCTGCAGCACTACAACAGCACCTACCGCCTCGTCATTCTGTGCAACTGCGAGAGGGAGCACAGCTACATCCCTTCTGTCTTCAGCCAGTACAAAGTGCACATGGTACCCCAGAGGACACTAGCTGAAATCCAGCGGTACCTCCAGCACCACTACAGAGTCGCTGAGCCTTCGAGCTCAGCTGCTTCTGTCTTCAAGGACAATATGTGTGTTGGGATCGTGTCCTCCAGAAGAGCTGGCGTGGGTAAGATGTCACATACAAAGCGGGGTCTGCTGAGGGTTAAAAACCGGGGTGGGGTTCACTTCGCCAGGTTTTCTGCCCAAGTCAGAAGTATCTAGTCCAAAAGACTGATTCAGGCTATAGTGGAGGGAGGTGAAGGCTCTAAGGACAGCTCATCTTGTCCTGAGAGGCATCTCTACAGATGGTTCATCCTGCTAATGTGACACCTCCGTTCTTCCTACTGACCCGCACCATTAACATAAACTAGATAGTGCTGGATAACATGAATCTGACTTCCTGAGGTTAAAATGTGCCTGGAGGAAAATATACATGAGGTGGGACAAGGGCTGTAAAGCCTGCCTGCTTTTCTTGCGTAGGAAATGATTCTTGGCTGTCTCTTAACGCACAAAGCCCGTGGGCATTCAATAAAGGTACTTGGCAGGCTGAAAAACAAACAGGTGGTTCTTCACACAGGGCTGGGTTAAATTTTGGAACCCAAAGCTTTACACAGGCTTCAGGAGCGATTAGACAGTCATGAGAGAAACAGCTTTCAAGGGCTGTTAAGCACACAGATGCCATCTCTAGCAGCAGAGTTGCTGAGCTGCAAATCACAAAGAAAACGTGGCAAGAGTGGCTGTGTCAGCAGTGTTCCTACCCTCTTCCTTAGCTGTTGGCCTGTCAGTCGGTAGCCCTGTGCGTGCTTCAACTGTCCAGCTCCTGGTTCATGTGGAAATGTTCACTCTCAAGTACTTCTAGTGCTTGGAGGAGCAACGCTGGACCTCGCTTCTTCCTTCCAGCAGCCATTCTTGGGCTTTATTGGGGAACTATCCCAAGGAAAAAGGTTGGGCTCAAAAGGGAAAGTGTGCTGCGTTATTTTCCAGGGATCAGTGAGAAAATCCAAACCGGTTTTGGTAACAAATATCATCCCTTGTCAAACTTCAGAAACTCAGGGCAGCTCCTGGGTGTTACCTGTGAATGGCTGCTGCCTCAGCTCCCGTCTGGAGAGCTGTAAGAACCCACCTTCTGTGCTGTTACAAACCTGTTGTACTGCTGAGGGTGAGTTTGGAGCTTCCAAAAGGTTGGAAGAGACAGCTTTACCCAGACACCCATAACGGGGAAGTAGTCGTTGGGTGGACCTGCCACAGCCCACTCCCGCACTGCGCGCAGCGTAAGGGTGAGGGGACGCAGCCAGTGGCTATGGAACCGTCTGTCCGTTCCCCAGGTTAATCTGGGGAACAGCAGATGCAGACTACAGCCAACCCCAACGCTGGCAAAGTTAGTTTCTGCAGGATAAGATAGGAAAGCTGAGGGTGCTTTTGTCTTTGGCAACAACCATTCCCTCCTCCCCACCATGTTTTGACTTTCAAAACTACCACGCAATCGAGTAGATTCAAGTCCTAAAAAGCACAGCCTTCCTGGGGCAGTCTAAGCAAAACAAGCCTCGAGGATAAGGACAGCCTTCAGTAGCCAACAGCAGCAGCAGCTCTGACTCCAGGCTGCAGCTGCTCTAACCAGATTTAGGCTTTCTTCTTCTGGAATGCCTTTTAGGAGGGTTCAGAGGTCTCCGAGGATGGGGTACTTGAGCATTTGACTTCTTTCTATTATGACTTTAATATGATGTGTCCGATACTGATGGGTTTAAGACTTCTGGTGGGTTTTATGTTAACAGGGAAATCTCTGTATGTCAAGAGGCTACACGAGAGACTGCAAGCAGAGCAGCCCGACTGCACGGGACTTCTGAAAACCATCAGACTAATTGAACGAGAAGTGGATGAAGATAAAGTACTAAAATCTCTTCTGCCTTTTCTGAACAGAAACCAGACAAAGCCCATGATATTCCATTTTGATATCACCTCGTCAGTAAGTACACCCCTCCCACGGGTGCCTGGGCCTGGAAGTTCTGTGGATCCTTGCAGAAGCTGTCTCGTTAAAGCTTTTGTTTCTTACTAAGCCATTTCACTAGGATGTGTTTTCTAATGGTTGTGTGAGTAACACAAGGAGCTCTTTACTGTCGAGGTGGTTGAACTCTGGAGCAGGTTGTCCAGAGAAGCTGTAGAGTCTCCAGCCTTGGAGATAGTAAAAACCTGGCTGAACACGGTGTTGGGAAACCTGCTCTAGCAGGGGCGTGGACAAGGTGCTCTCCAGAGATCCTTTCCACCCTCAACCGTTCCGTGATTCTGTGAAGTTGTGGTGAGTGAATACAGAGGAAGTGCATCTGTGTCTCTTCCGGCGACAGGTACAAAGTGGAATTCCGGAGTTTCTATTCAAGCTGTTGGTTTTGCAGTACCTGACAGATAATAACGGAAATATGTGGCTACGACAGGAGGGCCATCTGTATATCATTGAAATCCTTGAGGTATCGCCAGCACCAGAGAAAGCAGCGAGACACGTATGTACACAGCAATACTTGTTTTCCTTGACTTTCTCACTTGTTTTGCACATATGTTTGTATACGGCCGCACATGAGTGTGGAGACGTAGGAATTCCTTGGCACAGGAATTCCCTGTCTGTGTCAGGGTGTACTGTGCGTCTCCATTACAGTTTGCTGTCCCTGGTGTTACACAGAGTGCTGTTAAAACTAGACAGTAAATTATACCTGTTGTGGCTGTCTTGGGTTAGCGATTTCTGGAGGCTGGTTAGTCCAACCCTCGCTGGTCCCTCTGACACTTACAGGAAACATAAAAATGCAAAATCTCATCTTCCTTGTGTTACTCGGCACGCTCGAAAGTACTGGAATATTTATATCCAGCTGTAAGAGTCGAGTGTAGAAGGGACAGGGATAAATAAAGACAGTTTCTTGGGTTTAGTTTTTGCGGTAGCACTGGGAAGGGACTGGAGGTAACAGAGGGCTGATGTTACAAGAAGGAGACTCCAGGAGGAATAGGGTTAATTGCTGTGATGCCCTTTAAGCAGAAAAAATGATGCAAGGGAAGAAGTGTCATGGTTGTATAGGCTAGCTGCAGTTATTCAGTTAGGCCTGTGATTTTAGGCAAGAATGCTGTAAGGACAGATTCAGTAAAGTGAAGAAGTTTAGGGCTACAGCTTTGTGATGACATTTTCCTTCCCTTTACTCCAGACGTCAGCAAGCCAGAAGTATAATTTCTGTGATGTGTTCCCTAAAGTAATGTGCAAGTCTCCCAAGGAAGTACTAGAAATGGAGACACTTGGGAACCAGTCTGGGGATGTTTCGGACCCAGGAATGGATGAGGAGGAATTTTGCAGCGAGGCTTTCCAGAGACCTTTCCAGTATCTGAAAAGATTTGACCAGGGATGCAACCTGGACACGTTCCGTTACAAAGCGCACTCTGTGGAAGGGAACCCGGCACAGTGCCTGCAGCTGTTCCTCCTGCACTGCGGGATCACAGACCCCTCCTGGTCAGAACTCCGAAACTTCGCTTGGTTTCTCAACGTTCAGCTGAGAGACTGTGAAGCTTCTGTGTTTTGCAACCCTGACTTTGTCCAGGACACTTTGCAAGGTTTCAAAAACTTTGTCGTTACCTTCATGATTTTAATGGCCAGGGATTTTGCAACACCTTCCCTAAACATTTCCGATCAAAGTTCAGGAAGGCAGCCCTCCAACCTGGAGAACGTTGCAGAAGAAGACCTTCTTCCTTTCCGCATTCGGAAAAAGTGGGAGTCTGAGCCTCATCCGTACTTGTTTTTCAATGAAGACCGTGTGTCCATGACATTCATCGGTTTCCACTTTCAGTGTAGCAGCGATCGCGGTGTCGATGCCATTAATCCTTTGAATGGCAGCATTATCAAGAAGAATATCATGACTTCCCGGCTGTACAAGGGCTTGTTACTCCAAAGAGTTCCCTTCAATGTTCCATTTGATGAGTTGCCTCGTCATCAGAAGCTGGAGAAACTTTGCATGGTTTTGGGAATCCCCTGGGTAACCGACCCCGATGAGACGTACGAGCTCACAACAGACAACGTGCTAAAAATCTTGGCCATTGAGATGCGGTTCAGATGCAACATCCCCGTTGTCATCATGGGAGAAACGGGCTGTGGGAAAACCAGGCTTATACAGTTTCTGTGCAAGCTACGCAGAAGCTTCGTGGAGGTGGAGAACATGAAGCTCGTCAAAGTGCACGGAGGTACCACCGCAGAGATGATTTACGCCAGGATCAAAGAAGCAGAAGCCCTTGCCAAAACCAATAAGGAGCAGCACGGGTTGGACACAGTCCTTTTCTTCGATGAAGCCAACACAACAGAGGCCGTGAGCAGCATCAAGGAGGTTCTATGTGACCGCACGGTGGAGGGGAAGCCTTTGGCCTCTTACTCTGGCCTGCGGATCATAGCAGCCTGCAACCCTTACCGTAAGCACACACCGAAGGTGATCCAGCGCTTGGAATTAGCCGGGCTGGGCTACTCTGTCAAAGCAGATGAGACGAAGGATAAGCTTGGATCGATTCCACTGAGGCAGCTCGTGTACCGGGTCCATGCACTTCCCCCCAGCATGATCCCGTTGGTGTGGGATTTTGGGCAGCTGAACAGCTTAACGGAAAAGATGTATATTCAGCAGATCGTGCAGAGGGTTACTGAGCACGTCCCGATGGGGCCGGCTGAAGCCGAGGTGATCACAGAAGTGCTTTTTGCTTCCCAGCAGTACATGAGGCAGAGGGATGACGAGTGCAGCTTTGTCAGCCTGCGGGACGTGGAACGCTGCATGGAAGTTTTCAAGTGGTTTGACAAGCGCAGGAAACTGCTCCTGAGGGAATTGGAGAGGTACCTGGAAAAGAAGAGAGCTCCGAAGAGCACCGCTGAGAGAAATGGTGTTATCTGGGCCATAGTGCTGGCAGTCGGGGTCTGCTATCATGCGTCCTTGGAAAACAAGGAGGCGTATAGGAATGCTATCAGCCAGGTCCTTCCAAAACCTTACGATACCCCAAAAACTATTTTGGAAGAAATCTCCCTGATGCAGGACTTGTTCCTGAGTGGTGTGCACCTCCGAGACACCATAGCGAGAAACTTGGCCTTGAAGGAAAACGTCTTTATGATGGTCATCTGCATTGAGTTGAAAATCCCTCTTTTTCTTGTTGGGAAGCCTGGGAGCTCCAAATCCCTTGCGAAAACCATTGTGGCCGATGCTATGCAGGGCCAAGCAGCTCATTCGGATTTGTTCAAGGACCTGAAGCAGATCCATCTCGTGTCTTTTCAGTGCAGCCCCCACTCCACTCCAGAGGGAATCATAGGCACTTTCAAGCACTGCGCTCGGTTCCAGGAAGGGAAGGACTTGGAGGAGTACGTCTCAGTGGTGGTTTTGGATGAGATTGGGTTGGCGGAAGACTCTCCCAAAATGCCCTTGAAGACCTTGCATCCGCTTTTGGAAGATGGTTGCATAGATGATGTCCCTCTTCCTCACAAAAAAGTCGGCTTCGTTGGGATTTCCAACTGGGCTCTGGATCCTGCTAAGATGAATCGAGGCATCTTCGTCTCACGTGGTGACCCCAGCAAAGAAGAGCTCATCGAAAGCGCGAAGGGGATTTGTTGCTTGGCGCGGGGGGCTCTGCAGAAAATTGAACGGTATTTTTGTCACTTTGCAGATGCCTATGAAAAGATCTGCAAGGCCCAGGACAGGGAGTTCTTTGGTCTGCGTGACTACTACAGCCTCATAAAGATGATTTTTGCCTTAGCTAAGAGCTCCAAAAGTGAGCCGACACCTCAAGACATAGCTGAGGTTGTTCTTCGTAACTTTGGTGGCAAAGATGATGTCAACGCCTTGGAAATATTCACCTCGCAGTTACCGGAAAAAGGAGAAATACATGCTCATGATATCAGTACAATTGAGCTGATACGACAGAACATTTGCAGCAGTGGTCAGGATGGTGATTGCAGGTACCTGCTTGTGTTGACTGAGAATTACGCTGCGCTGCAGATCCTCCAGCAAGCTTTCTTTACTGCCCGGCAACAGCCAGAAATTATCTTCGGCTCCAGTTTCCCTAAGGACCAAGAGTATACCCAGATATGCAGGAATATCAACCGCGTGAAGGTCTGCATGGAAACTGGCCAAATGGTTGTGCTCCTCAACTTGCAGAACCTCTACGAAAGCCTCTACGACGCCCTCAATCAATACTACGTGTACCTTGCTGGTCAGAAATACGTTGATTTGGGACTGGGCACCCACCGGGTGAAGTGCCGAGTGCACCCCAAGTTCCGTTTGATAGTCATCGAGGAGAGAGACGTGGTGTATAAGCACTTTCCCATCCCGCTGATCAACAGGCTGGAGAAACACTACTTGGATATCAGCACTGTCCTGGACAAGGGGCAAAGGGAAACTGTGAAAGAGCTGGAGAAGTGGGTGCGGGAGTTCACGGCAGCCAATACAGAAGAGCACTTCCTAAGCGACCAGAAATACAGCCCTTCTGACGTGTTTGTGGGCTACCACTCCAATACCTGTGCCTCGGTGGTCCTGCAGACCACGGAGAGGCTGAAGGCACTGTGTTCTCCTCGTGAACTCGTGTCCTGCGTGAAGAAAGAAGCCCAGCTGGCACTGCTGAACTGTGCCACCCCGGACTCCGTCATCCGCCTCTGCAACGCGGTGGGTTTGTTTAGGGCAGATTCTCTGGCCAATATATACTTCAAGCAGCAGCAACACACGTCTTTTGCCGACTTCCTCCGAGCTCACGTCCGTGCTGGGTCTGGGAACCAAACGGTCTTTACGGAGGTGAGTTCCTCGCAGCGGGCTCTTGGCGCCCACCCAAGCCGCGCTGGGGCTTTCGTTCCTGCTGCTGGGGCTGCGTCAGGGCTACACCCGGGTGAACGCGGTGGCGGCCGTGCTACCTCGCGCCCGGATGTGCAGAGGGGGCTGCTGCAGCAGGTCTGTTGCCTCCTGAGGAATCTAATACCTCCGCTGTGCGTGAAGCAGTATCTGCTCCCCGGCAAGCGGAGGTTTTAGTAGTTTGGGCAGCTGGTGCATCTCTTTAAGTGGAGATAAAACTATTTTGAAACTACACCAGCCAGCAGAACAGGCTACTGGCTGTAGAAAAAGTAATCAGGAGCCTTTGAACCCTCATTTCTTTCTGTCTGCTGCTGGTCTTGAAGGTACAAAAAACTTCCATAGACTCATGGAATGGTTTGGGTGGGAAGGGACCTTAAAGCCCACCCAGCCCCATCCCCTGCCATGGGCAGGGACACCTTCCATAGCCCAGCTTGCTCCAAGCCTCATCCAGCCTGGCCTTGGGCACTCCCAGGGATGGGACATCGATTTAACCCAGTCACAGATCTCATGGGCCTTTAACGGGATGGTCTGGTTTCCTTTTGCCTCGTACCAGAACTAAAGAACTTCAGCTGAGGTTGGCTGGAGAATTTCTCTCTCTCCTGCCTCACGTGGAGACAATGTGCTTTCTCTTGAGGCTGGATTGCTGCTCCCTGAGAGCGCAGCAGGTGGGGCAGCCTGGGCAAGGGGGGAGGGCAGCCTGGGCAAGAAAGGAATGCTACAGGGGCTCACTGAGAAGTTTCCCAAAGTCTTGGCTGTCCCTTCTCAGCTGCCCCACAGCCCCCTCTCTGGCAGCACCAAGAGTCATTGTGTCCAGCTGCCCAGCAGTGTCCCTGGGTTGGTGTAACAGCTCATGTTGACCCTTTGCCTACTGGCTCACCAAATAAATGGGTTTTCTGGGGGGCAGTCTGGCTCTGCAGCAAGTTACCAGCGTCTGGGAGCAGAGATGAGTGAGTCTCTACTGCCTTCCCGAGCAAAGAGCAAATCTTGCACTCCTAGGTCACCACCTTCTCGAGGCTGCTCACGAGTGCCGACGCTGCTTGCTTGGAGAGGGAAGTGCGGGGTAAAGCCCAAAGGCCTCAAATCCTGTTCCTGCAGCAGTTTGACACAGAGTACTCGTTCCTGAAGAGCATCCGGTGAGTCTGGTTTCGCATCATCCTGCTCCGCACAGGCTGTCGCGGGCAGGACACTTGGGGTAACGCGTATGGAAAAGGCAGGCAGGAGGATGCTGTGCTCAACAGCGGGCTGGCTCGGTGCAGACTGTTCATGTCACCATGCGGAGATGGGTCTCTGAAGTTACACCATCCCTGTAGAATGGGTGATTTAATCTCCCCTGCCTGCCAGGGCCAAAGCTAATGTGGAGTGACCACTTCTACAGTTGTCACTGTGTTCTGTTTTCACACATAGTGACTTCTTTGGAATTTTCTTTCAATCTTTAGAGATTTCCTCCATGCCACATCGGGAAATAAAGTCCTTATTATTCAGACAGACTTTGAAGATGGCTCTCAAAATGCCCAGCTCATCGCCTCAGCCAAGTAAGTCAAGTGTGAAGTGGTTCCCAGGTTGCTGTTCTGCTTGGTGACTCCTCTCCCCCATTTGGTTATTAGTGCTGTTTGGGGGATTTCAGAATCGGGAAGGTGTGATCCTGCGTTTATTCTGTAGTGGAATGAATCTAGAAGCACTAATTATATGTCAGATAATTCAGAACCCAAGTCAAAATGATCTAAGCTGAGTCAAATTCCCAGACAATTCCCTCTGAAGTGTGAATTCTTGCCAGTGGCTGCAGAAATCCAGGGAGCTGAGGATCGGGGTTATCATTCCAGGTGTAGCTCGAGGCGGCAGGCCCAGCATGGTTGCCTGGGAGGGAGGAAGAGGCGAGCGAATCGTTTCTGTCTGTATGGGGGCAGAAATGGGCGCCCTCTTGCAGAGGAATGACTTGCAGCCATGAACTTTTGTCTGTCTGTCTGTCAACAGCATTTCCTCTTCGTTATAGGTACACTGTTGTGAATGAAATCAATAAGGTGAACCTGGGAGACGCCTCCGTCTTTGTTTACTTTATTATGAAGCTTTCCCGGGTGGAAGGAGGAACATCCTATGTGGGATTCCAGGGAGGTGGGTCTGTCCCTCTGCTCCTCACTCTCCAGCTGGCTCAGGCAAACATAGCAGAGCAACACTTCTCTTGTTCACCTTTCCTTTTAACGCTTAAAATCTGGAATCTGTGTGTTCCGTGGGTTGTCAGAGCTACTTCCCTTACCCACAGGGTTTGTCCCTGCGGGGTCAGTACCTTGGAGTCCTGGTCTCCTCTGCGAGATCCCCTTCACTCACCCACTGACAGATGAGTCCTTTCTACTCAGCTGGAGAGCAGCAAATGCACACGAGGCCAACTGTGTTGGCATATTGTCCTCTGGGAGAGTCCTGAGCATGTTCTGCTTTCAGCAGCAAGGCTCCTGCTGCGTGTGGCGGGCTCCAGGAGCCCCACAGCCCCGTCGTGTGCACACTCTGTCAGTCAGGTACTATGTGCTGGCATGTTCAAAGTGAATTGCTGCGTTCTCTTTCTGCCTCAATAAGTGAGAGTGAGCAAGCTCTGACTGTGAACTGCTGGCCCACAGGCACTGGGAGGTGACTCTTGGGAAGCTCTTCTCAAAGAGCAAGCTGCAGGCATGAAATTACGTTGTTTTTTTGTCCTCTGCCTTTAGGCCTGTGGCAGTCAGTGCATATAGATGACCTCCGCAGATCCAAAGACATGATCTCTGATATGAGTGCTCTGCAGAACCTCACCATAAGCCAGATCTTCTGTCAGGAGTCGGGTAGAGCCAGAGGTGAGCTGCCTGCTGGCTCTGCCAGCCAGCGGTGTGGGTATGCTGCTGTGGGAAAAGGGGAAATGCAGTCCCAGACTTGGCGTGAGTGGAACTGTTGCCTGGTACAACACAGCTAATGATTTTCCCTGCTCAGCATGTTTTCTGTGAGGGTTCGCAGCATGGCTACCACCTTGTGTTTGTATTCAGTTCGTTACTGCAACTATGGGTCCTCAAGTAAGTGAATTTGGTAGTTTTGCCTTTTTTATTTCTCCAAAAATACGGTATTTGCACTGCTCAAGACCCTGAGTGCTCTGTCTCAGCATGGGAGGTGCTACATGGCAGAGACAAGGGGTCACTCCAGAGGGTCTCTCACCTGCATGAATACAGATCTGCTCACCCAAACCTGTAGGAAGGTCAGAATAGACTTTTTTTCTTCCCTCTCAGTTTTTTTTCTTAGGGTTTTTCCTTTCACTATCCTGCCTTACAGGATTCTGGTAGAGCTTAGTGCCTTAGCTCCGAGGGTTGTATTTCTTCCCGTCCGTGCTGCAGGAAGCTTGGCAGCTCTAGCAGCTGTAGCTGTGCTGAGAGGTGGCTCTCAGCTACTCATGCAGGTGATAATGGATCTCTGACAGATGTTCTGCTCTGGGAAGCAGCTGCTAAAGAAACTCTTATCTGATGGATGCAGAAGTGTGCTGCGGCTGCTGATAAAAATTTTACACCTTAGTTGCAGCTCTGCCTGTGAATGGTGAAGAACAGGAGGAAAACAAGGTGGAGGTTGAAACGCCAGTGCCAGCAGCAGCAGAGCACCACGAGGTCAGTTCAGAATACGTTTGTCTGCTTCTCAGCTGTCAACACAGCGCTCTCCTTTTTGTCATCTGTAGGTGCAACACACCTTTTGCATCCCCATTCACTTGCAAATAATCTTCCTGCTGGATGTCATCAGGAATGCTAATGATCAGACACAGATTTCTCCCCCTGCTGTCCAATAAAGAAGCATTCCATGTTTCCTTGACAGCACTGGCTGAAGGATGCCCAGTATGAGGGTACCTGTGTGTGGCTTTTGCACCTTTAGTTCCTAAGCATCTCCCAGGCAGGATGTGTTTTCCCTAGTCCTGTTTATAATTCCCACTTTTTTCCCTGAACTGCTGAGTTTTCCCCCTGTAGGAATCTTAATACAAATGCTGCGTTGCATGGCAATTTGAAAAGGCCAGAGAGGTTGCACTGGGTACTTGGCAGTAAAAGAACTTGGATTTGCAGCCTGAGATGAGAGGAAAACTAGGAGATGGGATGCAAGGGGCCCAGGCCCGTTCTAGAGAACACTATAATCGTTTTAAGAGGGATGTGTTGGGGGCATGGTGTAAAACCCAAGAGTAACGAACATGTTTTCACGCTCTTGCTTGGAAGGGTGAAATCCTGGACACCACTGTACTCCTGAGGACCTGTGTACAAAGTGCTGTGGGGATGCTGCGGGACCAAAATGAAGATCTTAGTCGAAGCAGAAGGCGAATTAAGATTCTCCTTGGCTTTCTGTCCAAAGAGGATGACTTGAAAGGTACGTGCTGCATGGCTGCAGTGTCCCAGAGCATCTAGGGAACCACCGAAACATGTACCTTAACTCACTGGGGACCCACAGGTTGTTACTGTAGTGTGAGGGTGATCTCCCGAGCAGTCTCCCAAGAGTGTGTGTGTCTGTGCTCCAGCCTGTTGCTCCTTTGGTGGCTGTAGGGCTTTTCCTGGAGTTCAGGTTGCACCTTTTTCCCTGGCTGGGCTGTCTCTGGTGACTGGCTTTTTCCTGGTTGCCTGATTATTGAACCATCTGTAAAATGCTGTGCTTGGTGTGTGAGATTTGAATTTGGATCCAATGCCAGCAGAAGAGAAAATGCAAGTTTCTTGTTGTTTTTCTAGCCTCTTTCCTGAAGATAACTAATGCTCGTCTCTTCAACCTTTTGAAGAAGCAAGAAGAAAATTCCCTTCACCCAGAGAACTGGGTGCTTCGGGAGGCTTTCAACCTCTGTGCTCTCCAGGAGGCAGGCACCTTCAGGTGAGGACAGCAGCCGTATCCTGTAACCTGCAGGCTTCCAGGAAAGGTCTGCAAAGGGCAGCTGTGCAGCAGAGACAGCAGTTTTGTGTAATCTGATATTTGCAGTGTCACTCTCCAGTCTGTGCTGGAAACTCTCAGTTTTGTCCTCTCCTGGCTCCTGAGGGAGGGTGACTTAGAGCTGAATGGGCTGTACTGGGATGCACAAGTGCCTTGAGTGGAGCGGTGGGATAACAGGGGAGCCATGAGTGAGAGAAATGTAGGTTTTGTTGTTGGTAGAGCTGGTTTCCCCTTAAAGGCAGGATTAGGACTTTCTCACATGCAGATGTCAGCCGTTTTTCAGGACCACCACCTCTTGTTGTGCTGATATCACTGCTCAGCTTCCCTCTGGCTTTCTTGGTCTCTTTCTGCCCTCAAAGGCACACCCTGTGGAAGCGAGTCCAGCACGTGATCACACCATTCCTGGCTCTCCTGATTGCTGTCATAGACAGAAACGGCAATCTGGAGCTGCTGGTCAGGCCGGCAGCCGAGTGGGTGACAAACCTGTGGATGTTCATCTTCAGTGATACAAAACTCCTGACTGTCCCTTACGGTGTGGGTAAGAGCAGGTGAGCCACTGGGGAGAGGAGCAGGAGGGCTTGGCTGGAGCACCACGACCAGTCCAGCACTGGCTTTAAACCCACATGGGAGATGGGCACTGTTGGGTGCTCCCCAGTTCGGAAATCTGTTCTTTCTGCCTTATCCCCAGTGCTCCTGGGCTTTGCTCTCTGGGTCTTGGCACGCTCACGCTTCTCACCCGGCCCCTGAAGCCCACGTGTCCTGCCATCACAGCCCTTTTGCCAGGGAATGCTTCCTGAGTAGGGCCTAATACCGCATGGTTGGCAGGATTGGCTGTATTAATGAATCCTTCAGTTCTTTCCCCACCCTCCTCCTCTTCTAGGGCTAATTTCTGGCTTTCTGCAGCTTCCTGCCTCTGTCTGAACGTGTTTCCCAGGCAAAAGCCGGGTGCGTTAATGACCTTGTAATTCCCCAGCTCTCAGCCAGAGATAATTCTGGTGCAGAACAACATGACGGTGTCTGCTGATGCTGGGAACGAGATGCCCTTCAGCTGGAGGATAAAGGAGTACTTGGATGAGTTGTGGTTGGAAGCTCAATACATCCAAAGCACTGAAGGTGAGAGCCTGGCTTGAGCCCGTGACACCCAGCATCTCCATCCGTTCGCCCTGTGAACTCTGGGTTGTCACTGCCGTGCCTGTGACCCCGGAGTTACCGCAGTCCCTCTGTGCTCACAGGAGCCAGCGGGGCTTTGTGCAGCTAGCTGTTCTTTGTGCTTCTCACGATGAGCCTTTCTCACGTATTCTGTGCCCTTGTACTCAAAGCGCTGCGGCAATGCCAAGAGTTAATGCCAGGGTGAGATTCCAGAAATACCGCGCTGGCACCCGGGCTGAGGCGGCTTGGCCTCAAACCCCTGGCTGGTGCTCTGAATGAGGGGAGTGCTACCTGCGTCAGTGATTAATTAGCTGTCAGTCTCCTCGGGACAGAAGCTGTGTCAAACCCTGCCTCCTCCTAATATTCAGCTTCTCTCTGCATTCTTATTTTCCAGACCAAGCTGGGAAGTTTGTGGATATCTTCCAGAAGACTGCCCTGGGCAAGTTCATCTCTGCTCTGAGTGAGGAAGAAAGGGAGATGCTCCTCCAGTGCTACATCACAGACTTTATCGTGCTGACCATTGGTGTGTCCTCCGGTGAGGAGTTGCAGGTGGGTGTCTGGAATGAGCTGGGAAGCCTTTGGATGGGGAGAAGGGCATGAAGCCTGTGAACGAGCCCTTCTGTACCCATCTGGCCGTCTCAGAGTCCCCCTCTGAGACAGACCAAGAGCGGGGGGGGTCACAGAGCAGGCGCATTTGTCACCAAAAGAGTACTTCCACCTGTACAAACGGACACATGCTTGAGGCTTTGTGAAGCATTGATTCTCCTATTCCAAAGAATTTTGCCAGGATTTCCAGGACAAAATGAATTATAAAATTATTTTTTTAATTTTAACTTTTTTTCTGAACTTCCAGTGCCTGCGAATTGCTTTCCTGTCCTGCATAGAGGAGGGGAAGGCAACAGCTCTCAGAAGAGAGGAGGCGGTGCCATCCTTGCCTTGGGTCCACCTTGGGTATGATCTGTTCAAGAGCCGCCTGCAGAACTTCGCTCGGATCCTGGCTGTGCACCCTCGTGTGGTTGACTACCTCAGTAACCAGGAAGGCTATGGGATGCCACGCTCAGAGATGGTAGGGTCACTACCAGGCGCTTTGTGATCCTCAACCCTAGCAGAGCGCTCTGTCTTTACCCAATTAGCTAGTGTCCAGTCACCTCTTGATTTCGGCGACAGTGAAGTGGGAAGCACAAGCTCAGTCAACATCCTCAGTATCAGGGATAATCTGTGATCTTATCATAGAATCATAGAATGGTTTGGGTTGGAAGGGACCTTAAAGATCATCCAGTTCCAACCCCCCTGCCATGGGCAGGGACACCTTCCATAGCCCAGGTTGCTCCAAGCCTCATCCAGCCTGGCCTTGGACACTCCCAGGGATGGGGCATCCACAGCTTCTCTGGGCAACCTGTCCCAGTGCCTCCCCACCCTCTGCGGGAAGAATTCCTTCCTGATATCCAATCTAAACCTCCCCACTTTCAATTTAAACCCGTTACCCCTGGTCCTGTCACTACAGGCCCTTGTAAAAAGTCCCCCCCAGCTTCTTGGTAGCCCCTTCAGGTACTGGAAGGTGCTATAAGGTCTCCCCAGAGCTTCCCTTCTCCAATCATTGCCACAAGCAGGATTTAAAATAGTTTGCCATGCTTTCGCATCAGTTAATAGGATGTGAATGATCTGATCCATGATCATGAGAATTCCAGAGCTTAAGATGATCAAGTAGAACATTATTCAGCAGAACACATGGTTTAGCAAACCAGGTCGAACACTCAAGGCTCATAAATAATTCTGGAACGCCACTGTTGCGCTATGCTCACACCCGGTGTGTGTACCCAGGTTTTGGATGTGTTAGCAGCAGTGGTGTGTGCCGAGGAGCTGGAGAACCAAGTGCAGACAGCCCAGCCAGAGACGTGGCTGCAGAAAGTGAAGAATCTTCGTATGCCCATGGAATTCCTTTGTAAAGAGAAGGATTTACAGAGGAGTGGGAGCCTGTGCCATCACCTGCTAAAAGAACTCGAGTGCGTACCGCAGATCTTCTCACGACCTTGATCTTTCGCCTTGCTGTTAGTAACAGTGTTGGTACAGGCGGAAAGCTGCTCTGGGGCTACTTTCTACTAAGTTCAGTTCCTACTAAGCTCAGTTACATACTGAGCATCAAGAACCAGATCATTTTTCCTCACTGCACGTAGATTCTCCCTCTAAATCTGGCAGTATCTTCCAGTTCATTCCAGCTGGGCTTGGGGCTTATTTAAAACTCATCAGGTTCCTGTTAACTGCCGATGTCTCCCCACTTCATCCCTTGGGCACAAAGACTGAGAGATTGAAGACAGTCTTGTCTCTTGGAAGACAAGCCCAGGGAGCTACCCCTGTTTCTCACAGAATTTTAGTTTAACCGAAGTGAAGAAAGTGTAGGTAGTTGTGATTATTATTTTAAACTACGTACTTGATCTAGAAGTCGGGTGTGAGGAGGTCTTTGCAGTGCTCTTAATTCTGCTGCAGTGCTGTCCACAGGACAGGCCCCAGTGCTGTAAGCTCACCGTATTAGGGGCTGTTGTGTGTGTTGTCCTTGACACAAAAGCCGGGGCTGATAACCAGTGGGCAAAGCAAGAAGTTGTGTGGGGAGCACACAAACGCTGTAGTGGTGAGCGTGAAAGCAGTGAGCTCGTTAGC